AGCATTGCGCCCGCGGCGCAGTGAACTGAGGCTGCGGGGAAGGGGCCGGAGGCTAGCCTCCCAGGCCAGGAGCTATGGGGCCAGGCAGAATGGTCCCACGGGCCGTAGTTTGCCCACCTCTGCTTTAGGGCATAATTAACAGGTGTCCTATAACATGACATTCCTTGCACTTTAGGATTTGCTTTGGGAATATGTCACATTTAACCACCTTAAATCCCTTTTCAACAAGACAAAGAATTATAAGTAATATGTTCAAAAGCACCTGTGAGACTTAAACGCCTAAGTGCCTAAGGTCCAGATTTGTAAAGGCATTTAGGCAGTGCTACAACAGTGTTGCAACTCCTGTCTGACTGTTTTCATTTCATTTCATTTTCAAAAGTGACTTAGGTTCCTAAGTCCCATTGACTTTCAGTGAGACTTTGACTCCTAAATCAGCTTGGTGTTGCTGCGTTGAGCAGAGCAATGCCTAAATACCTTTAAAAATCTGGTCCTAAGTCAGTTTCTAAGTCACTTTTGAAATTGGGACTTGGGCTCCTAAGTCATTTATGGTACTATTTTCAAAAGAATTTATATCTAAAGTCTAAATTCTGCCAAAACCACACTTTCTATTTTATGAAATAAATATTCCTGATTCCCATTAAGTCAATGGATTACAGCACACTGGCAATTGAGATATTCCTTTGGCGTAAAATCACTGTCTTCACCACAGAGGTATTGACTGAAAATAAATCTACACCAGAACATTTTTCTTTGCAGAACACCCTAAAATAGTAAGTCTTTTTTATAAACAAAATATATTAGAATATGAATATTAAAGGGGAACCTCATTTAAATCTAACCATGGGGGAGAAACAAAATTCCAGCTACCCTCTATCCCAGAGGTGGGCAAACTATGGCCCACGGGCCACATCCGGCCCGCAGAACCATTCTGCCCGGCCCCTGAGCTCCTGGCCCGGGAGGCTAGCCCCTGGCCCCTCCCCTACTGTCCTCCCTCCCCCGCAGCCTCAGTTCACTGCGCTGTGGGCACAATGCTCTGGGCAGTGGGGCTGCGAGCTCCCAGGGTAGCGCAGCTGCAGAGCCCAGCCTGATCTGGTGCTCTGTGCTGCGCGGAGCATGGCTGGCTCCAGCCAGCCACCAGTGCTCCAGGCATCGTGGTAAGCAGGCAGGGAGCAGGGGAGCGGGGTTGGATAGAGGGTAGGGGAGTTTGGGGGTGGTCAGGGGTGTGGATAGTGGTGGGGGCAGTCAGAGGGCAGGGAACAAGGGGGGTTGAATGGGGGCAGGGTTCTGGGGGCGGTCAGGGAGAAGGGGTGGTTGGATGGAGCAGGGGTCCCAGGGGGGCTGTCAGGAATGAGAGGAGGGATTGGATGGGGCAGGAGGGGGCAGTCAGGGGTGGGGGTTCCGGGGGAAGTCAGGGGACAGGGAGAAGGGGGGGTGGATGGGGCAGGGATCCCGGGGGGGGGGCAATCAGGAAGGAGAGGGGTTGGTTGGATGGGGTGGTGGGGGGCAGCAGTGGGGGGCAGTTTGGGGCAAGGGGTCTGGGGGGGGTCAGGGAGAAGAGGTGGTTGGATGGGGCAGGGGTCCTGGGGGGACAGTCAGGAAGGAAGAGGGGGATTGGATGGGGTGGGAGGTCCAGGGGTGGTCAGGGGACAGAGCAGGAGGGGAGGATGGGGCAGGGGTCCGGGGGGGGGGCATCAGGGGACAAGAAGCAGGGGGGGTCGGATAGGGGGTGGGGACCGGGCCATGCCTGGCTGTTTGGGGAGGCACAGTATCCCCTAACCGGCCCTCCATACAATTTCTGAAATCTGATGCGGCCCTTAGGCCAAAAAGTTTGCCCGCCCCTGCCCTAAAGCACACCCAGCACATTTGCACTGATGGAGATAGACTTTGTACTTTCATAAGGAACTTCATTTTGTCTCCAACTAATAAAGGAACACATTATACATAACGCATCAGTATCCCTCATAGTACAATGAAAAACCTTAATTATATCTGCAGCAACATTAGCCATTATCCAGGTTGACATTTTTGCACAAGTTAATTGTTCTCGTATGTTTTTATAAGAGAATGATGAGATTATAATTAAGATTTTCTGTTATGCTGTGAGGGAGAACAATGAATTGTGTATCTTCTCATCAACTGGGGGCAGAAGGGCACTTTTCCTGTGATCCTGTGGAATCTGTTTCATCAGTGGGGATATGCTGAGCTTTAGAGAATAATTGATAGGTGTCCCATTATTTGGCCTATCCTTACTATTCAGGGATTGTGTACTGGGGATAAGACTCATTTAACCAGATTGCATCCCATTTAAACTATTTTTTGTTTGTTTATGGAATTTCCTGCGTTACCTTAATATGATAAATATAGGGTGGTTTGGGGTAGGTAGGGATGCCCCCCAACTTTCCCTCCAGTGGGATAGGAAAGAAAGCCAAAGGGGTAGAGAGGGGCAGGGTGGGATAATTATGCGTGTGAGTGTGTGTGTGTGAGAGTGAGTGAAGTGGAGGGAAATTAGTTTTATTTCTACACTCTCCAGCTCAATGTTCCTGCATTCCTGTGGCGAGGTCGGCTTGTGTATGGCCACATCTGCTCCACTGGGCCAACCACAATTCCTCAGGGTGGAGGAGCCTCCATGAAAGCTGCAGAGTATAAAGCAGAGGCCAGAAAGCATCCTAACACTGGATCTCAAAAGTTCTCTCACCTGGGAACTCCAGATGCTGCTCTTTGACTGAGATGAGGTTCGCAGAATAGACAGCAGCCCTCTTTCCAAGAGCAATGTATTTCTTCAGTTCCATTGGAAACAAGAACCAAGAGGTGACCATCTTGCTGAGGGGCAACCTCACTTTGACATAACAAGTATAGTTCTCAAATATACTGCATATCAGTTGAATCAGACTCCCAGTTGGTGGGGAGAGAAAGGAGGAAGAGATCCCCATCAAAAATTAAAATCTCAGCTCTTAAAAACATTGATGTTTATATTTGTGTGCACTTCATGCCTTATACCCCTTCCTTAGAAGGCAGTCAGATACCAGCCACCCCATTTTACAAAGGAGGTAATCGAAAGTATGTGTAAGTCACTTCTAGCAGAGCTGGGAACAGAGCCTAGATCTTTAATATGATAACTCCAACCTCTCAACTCAGCCACACCGCCTCTCAGAAAGAACCTGCCAAATCTACGTGCTTGGGTACACACTGGTTGTAACCACTAGACCACACTCCTCTTCCAAAGATAGGAATAAAATCTTGTAGTCCTGATTCTCACCACTCTAGTGCTGTGTTGCCCACTGGCAAAATGAGTGTTGCTTTCCCCTTTAGAGGCTGCTCCACACAAAAGCAGAAGTTACTTCTGATAAAGGCTTGGGATTGGGATATGAAAGAGCTGGATTCAAATGCTGCTAATGACCCACGTAATGGATGGACTTAGAATTCCTGTTTTCCACGTTTATTCTTTTCTTTTTTTTAAAAGAAACTGGTGTATTTAATTGATAGTGTGAAAATATTGTTAAAAGAGGATTTATAGTGGAAAACTACTGAAGCTGGTAATAATGGTGCAACATACAACAAAGTGCAGGTGTTCCAATTTCCATCAATTTTCCACACACTTTGATGTCCCACACTGGCAGATTTGAAGGTTGAGAAATATAGCAGCAGAAGTACTCTAGTGAAATGGGGGTCAGGTTCTAGGCGGTAGTCTGTGCTTTCAGTTATCGGAAATGGTAGCCATCTTTACAAGGAACACCTCCTCAGTAAAGTAATGCTCAACTTTATTGAGTGTATTAGTAATATCCATCTCATTGGGTAGTATCAGATCTTTTGTAAATGATGGGAAATAGCGGCCATTTGAGAAAAGGAAAATTGTGACTAGAATGGTAAAGACAGGAAAAAACAATTGTTGATAACTTTGCTTACTTACAACCTAATTTCTTGAATTTCTTGGATTTGAAGGTGGCTGGCAATGAAGTTTAACTATATTGAATGTGTGAACTGTAACATACCAGACATTTGTTAGTAAAAAGACTTCTGAAAAATTTCAGATACTGGAGAAAAATTTCCAAAAGAACTAATTTTTAAATTAATTTGAATTCAAACCAAATAAGAGACAACTGAAAAGCACAGCTAAGGGCTTGTAGGGATGGGAGAATGCTTGTGGGGAGGCAGAGTTCCTCACCTATATTCACAGATTTTAAGGACCAAAGGAACCATTATGATGGTCACCTATTCTGACCTCCAGCATAACTTCAGCCATAGGACCTGAATTAATTCCTGCTTCACTTCCAATAGCTGTGGTTGAACTACAGCTTATCTTTCCAAAGAAAAACATCCAAACTTGATTTTAAAATGTCCAGTAATGGAGAATCCATGACAACCCTTGATAAGTTTTTCCAATAGTTAATTACCCTCACTGTTAAAAATTTGTGCCTTGTTTCTAGTCTGAACTTGTCTGACTTCAGCTTTCAGCCATTCGATCTTGTTAGACCTTTGTTTGGAAGACTGTAGAGCCCTCTATTACCAAATTTCTGCTCCCCATATAGGTACTTCTAGTTAGCGATCAAGTCACTCCTTAACCTTCTCTTTGATAAACTGAATAGATTGAGTTCCTTAAGTCTCGAACTATTGGGAGTGTTTTCCAAATTCTGAAGAATGTGATGAATCCTATTATACTTGAGAGATTTTTGTTACATTTGTTTTGCTTAAGAAAACTCATTCTGGTTTATAATTGTGAAGATTTGCTCTTATGAGCAAAATCTTTGCTGATTACTGCTGTGTTATTACTGCTATTTCAACCCAGCAGTTTACAGGGGGGGCTTGGGTGCCCAACGAACACAGACTCAAGCTCTTAGGGAGAGGAGGCCTGCAAAGACCTAGGCTTTAGGGCATTCAATTGCACTTGAGATGTTTTCTTTCCAATTGTTCTTTCTGCATGAAATTTCCATTAAGTCAGAACAGTCTGAAAAAGTAAAGAATTCACACACTGCTTACATATAGGAATAAACAAACAATTTTACCTGCAACCACTGGAGATTTTCTGTCATCTAAAAGTTGAATGGCAGTACTAGCTGTCACCACATTGCTTTTGTTTGCTGTTTCTACAAGGTGTAAAAAAAAAAGCTATTAAAATCAAAACATACTGCAGTGTAAGCAAGTTCAGCTGTAGATTTTTAGTTTGAAAATTATCAAATATTCGTATGAATTTAATGCTCAGGAAAAGTGCACAGGCAGTGACACTTTAAGTTTCCCCACAATGCCTGATTACAGGATTTGTGAACTTGGTGAAAATTTCAGTGCAGATTTCAGAAGATGAAACTCAGTTCAATACCCTCTCCTGAATACAACAACATATGTGGAATCTTCCCAATGTTATGCATGCTTCAGAATTTAAATATGACAAATTTACAGACCTGTACTAAATGGGATTGAATAGACAAAGCTGCCTGGTATCTGCTCGGCGGCTCTTCTGTACCAGAGTGGAAAATGATCAGCATTAAAAATATTCTCTTTGTCTTCAGCTGTCAGGAAGTCTCTTGAAACAGAAGAAAGAAGAAAATATTTGCTGCTTTTTGTATATCACAAAAACATTTCAAGCTTGAAAGTCAAAACAAAACAGCATCTTAGTCTTTGGGAAAGAAAATGGACTCCTCTTTTGGGTTCTTTTCTATATCATTTGTGCAGTAAAAGAGTTTAATATATCACTGAATAATTCTTGATATACTTGCAGTATCTTCTCAGACAACAAATTTCATAGCAACCCTGCTATGTATAAGCAGAGAAGGGTGGGCAAAGGGGTAAAAAACTGAGCCAAAGTCAAGTGGAAAATTGTATTACTGTAGAAATTAAAAAAGATGCCTTTCTTTCTAGCAACTTGTTCAAATAATGTTTTACTTTTTAACCTAGCTGTGTGTGGTGGAAGAGATGTTGTAACGAGTGAGGGCAACTGTTTCAAGCAATCCAAGTTCAAGTCTTGAGTTAGGCCAACATGATTAATAACTGTTCTTCCCAAGAAGATATAGTGGGAGGGGTGAACAATGAACTTGGCTATATTCTTCCCCAAAAAAGGATGTCAGGGAAAGGTGCCTGAGGTAGAAGGGAGGGGTCATATGAGAAAAAATGCAACTATCTTCTCCATGCTCATTGCTTCCAGTGCGCTGGAGGAGGACAACAGCAGCACAAGCTGCAAGGCCACTGATTCCAGCTCACAAATCTTTCACCCAACAACAATATTGTGTATTCAGATAAATACCATGCAGAAATCCTTAGTGATCATCAGATTACCTTGCACAAAACACATACATGTTACCTGACGTTTGCAACACACAGAGCCTCTTGCAATAAACTACACTAACTAGAGGACGTTTATTTCAGAGAGCTTCATTTTAAGAAACACATACTTCCAAAAATTGCTGCGTAACATTTTCTGGCACTGAAATCAGTATGTTCCACACGCATATTGCAGTTCCATAGAAATAAGTCCTTAAAGACAAATCCTGAGTAAAGATGTATTAGGGAGGTCAAAATGAATACTTTCTTTCTTAAAACCTTTTCACACACCAATGATTCAGCTTTTTAATTCATTTCCACTGTTGTCTTTGCAGTTTAATGGTGAGGAATATTTAACTATAAGAGAAGACAAGTATCTCTTCCTACACAATGCTCAACACTGCTCTAATGTTGATTTCCCCAGAATTACATTAAATATTATTGGCTCTCTTAAAAGGATTGACGTATTGATTGTAGATGCTGGATGGAGCATAAAAAACAGTTATACTATCAACATGATTTACTAATAATATGACGTATTCAAATAGATAAAAATTAAGGGCATTTTCCTGCTGCTGCTGAAGTCAGTAGGAGTTTTGCCATGGACTTCAGAGGGAACAGGACTGGACTCTAAGTAAATAAAAATATATGTCAAAGTAATGGCTTGAGGGGTTTTTTTTTTGTTTTTGTTTTTTTGGTCATTGTGGTTATTGTACAGGATTAGAATAGAAATATGTGAGTAGATAGTAGAAAATTGACTTTTAATAGATAATTCTGTGTGGTTTTACTTTATGATATCTAAGCCCTAAAACACCAACTTCTGTCTCATGCTAACTGTGGGAATTAATCTATTGTGAACAGCTAACCTCTCAAGTTACTGTCTGAATGTTTATCTCTCTCTCATATGTACATGGTGTAAATAGTACTAACATGTTGCTATAACACCTTTGCACTTATGCTCAGATCCCCAAAAGGACTTAGGTGTCAACTCCTCCTTTAGATGCCCAAGTCCAAAATTTAGGTGGTGCTGAGATACTCAAAATATCTACTAAGCTGCTGCCTAGCCCTGGAGATGCTTAAAATCCCTTAGGACCTAAATTTCCACTGTTTAAGTCCTTGAGGGGAATTTCTGCCTCTGGGCATGTGCACTGTTGCCTCAGTCCTGGCCAGTGTCTATCTTATGCCCAAGGTCCAGCAAAGATCCTCAAACCAGGTGAAACTAGACATTGTCCCACTTTGCTTGCCTCAAGAGCCCAATCCAGTAGGTATGCTTGGAGCATGCCTAACTATACACAAAACAGCCAGGGATGGAAAGAGAACTCCTTTATAAGCACTAGCCCAGTTGTTAGGGAACTCACCCAGGACGTGGAAGACCCCTGATAATGAGCAGGAATTTGAACATAGGGCACTCACCTGAGAGGTGGGAAACCCAACAACTGGACTATAGAGTCACTCACTCACTCTCTGGCCCAGTGCAGAGAGGAGAGATTGAGAGAGACCCACACCAGAATATCCCAAAGTTCAGTGAGCTAAATATTATACGAGAGGCTGCTGCCTCTCCTCTTCACCTCTTCCTCCACCAGGCCATTTTGGAACAGTTTGGGTGTGCTGCCACCATTCTTACAAGAAACAGCTTAGGTGCCTGACTCTGGGAAAGGGTTTATGGCTGTGGAGCCCAAGCAGAGATAGGCACCTTCCTCCAGCCCAGATGTATCACCTAACTCCTTGAGAGGGGCATGGCTTAGTAGTTACCCCTCTTCTTGGCATGTGATATTGGGTATTTAAGGCAGCTCCCCGCCTAGTGTGTCAGCTTTGGTAAATCCCGTACTTAGCTGCCTAACATTCCTCGCCTAACCTAGGGTCTGTGGATTCCACTAGGTGACTAGGCACCTAAAGGTTAGGTGCTGCAACCTCAGTATTGCAACACCCTAAGCCCCTTTATGAATTTGGGCCTTGGGACCTGATCCAACATACACTAGTAAATGGAAGGACTCCCATTGACTTTAATTTGTGTTGGACCCTTTTATGGCAGCTTTCATCAGAGAATCCCAATGGGGGTATTTTATATTTCCTCATTTTAAACGGATGGAAAACTGATGCACACAGGGTGTAAGTGTCTTGCTTAAAGTCATGCAGCAAGCCAATGCAAAGATCGGCATAGAATGAACATTTCCTGACTCTGACACCCCTGCACTAATCTCTAAACAAAACTAAACAACAATCCCAAATATTCATATTACTCATACTTACTAAGTTTTGCCCTTACTCGAAGTATAAAACAATCACACTGACACTACGTTGTTTAGAAAAGAGTCCAATATATACAGATAAACCATTTCCCATAATATTCAACATGATCCTATTGTCTATATTATCTAAGCTTAATATAACTGGTGGAGAATTATTTTCCTTTCTACACTGTACAATATTCAGTATTAAGGAATTTTAAAATGAGCATTGTGATTACATTTTAAAAAATATTTTTGTATGGCTTTTTCTCTCTTCCAAATTTAATGTTATAAAATACTTGAAGAGCAGGGTTGAATGGCATAGATTATACTTTGAAGCCATAGTAATCTTCTGTCCAAGTATCTCATGCTAGACTGAGATATGAGACAGTGGTCAATCTATATACAACCCTTCAAACTGAAGTATCCTTGCGTATGTTACAAATGACATAATGCATATCTACCATTTTGTGAGCCAAAGGCATTACAGACTAAGTAAAATTAAAGTTTTGATTTAGCAATATCAGCACACTAAGTGTTACAGACCTTCAATTGAGGGAATTCCACAACTGGGATGAATAACTGCTGGAAACACCTCAAGACATTTGTTTTGGGATGGGCTTAAGAAAAAATTGCATAATTTCCCCCATCTTCTGCAGCTCCAGTATCTTCTTAGTTTTGCACTGAATAATCAGGATGTGAGTCTAACTCCAGGAGGGTGGAAAAAAGCAAATATATGGACTGAAAAAAGGCCCCTATTATAGCTGATACGCGGGTGAAAAATATCACCAACTAGTTCCAAAAGTTACAGAAAAATCTAAAGAAGACTACAAGAACTGTTCTTGTTTATTCTATGTATTTAGCTTTGCCAGTGTGAAACTTTGGGGAAGAAAAAAACAGCGTATCTCCTAAAAAATTTCTTGCCTTCCCACCTGCTCCTTCAGCACAGTTATGTGACTTACTGATTAGTAAGTTGCTCTGGTCCCACAAACAGGTTGATACGAGATAGACCCGTCCGGGTTCCAAGAAAGGCAACTTCCACTCCCTTGTCAGAATTTCTGAAATAGAGCAGCACACAAGCAAAGATAAACATTTCTAAACAGTAAATAGATAGAGCTAGTGAAAGAGCATTTTTGATCTCATTCCTCTTATTTTTAAATTTATTGAAAGACATATCTCATTTTTGTTGAGATAAAACACACACACACATAGTTTGAAAAGTTATTTGGCCACTGCAAGAAATTTGTTTCTTCAAGATGGATTTGTGCGGTGGAATTACATGAAGACTGGGGGAAGAAAGGGTGTGGGTAACTAGCAGTATAGCTCCTCATGGTCACTCATCCTGGTCCTAGGCTGGGATAGGGACTACAAACCCTGCTCACCCACTACCTCAAATATAGTGCCCAACTATAAAAAAGGGACATAAGGACAACCCAGGGAGTTACAGACCAGTCAGCTTAACTTCAGTACCCGGAAAGATAATGGAGCAAATAATTAAGCAATTAATTTGCAAACACCTAGAAGATAATAAAGTGATAAGTAACAGTCAGCATGGATTTGTCAAGAACAAATCATGTCAAACCAATCTAATAGCTTTCTTTGACAGGGTAACAAGCCTTGTGGATGTGGGGAAGCAGTAGATGTGGTATATCTTGACTTTAGTAAGGCTTTCGATACTGTCTAGCATGATCTTCTCATAAACAAACTAGAAATACAACCTAATGGAGCTACTCTAAGGTAGGTGCATAACTGGTTGGAAAACTATTCCCAGAGAATATTTATCAGTGGTTCACAGTCAAGCTGGAAGGGCATATCCAGTGGGATCCCAGTTTTCAAGGCTGTTACAAGGAGGAGGCAGAAAATATATTCTTCTTAACCTCTGAGGTTAGGACAAGAAGCAATGGACTTGCATTGCAGCAAGGGCGGTTTAGGTTGGACATTAAGAAAAACTTCCTAGTTGTCAGAGTGGTTAAGCACTGGTATAAATTGCCTAGGGAGATTGTGGAATCTCCATCATTGGAGATTTTTATGAACAGGTAAAACAAACACCTATCAGGGATGGTCTAGATAATACTTAGTCCTGACATAAGCGCAGTGGACTAGACTAGATTACCTCTCACAGTCCCTTTCAGTTCTATGATCATCTCTTTGGATTTGTAGCCATTGGCTTCACATTATCACAAAACCAATTATACCTTTGGCCCTCCCACTGCCAGCCTCCAATCCCCTATTCCTCCACAATGAACTGTGTCTGTAGTGGCAGAGAGGATATAAAAAGGGGTATAAGAGTCTCCCTGTACACACCCTCTGAAGTTGCCTTCCACGCATGAAGTGGAATAGCTGTAGTTCCATTGTGTTGGAGGATTCAAAAGACCTTATTCTGCTGTGCGAATTTCACCCTCAAAGCTTAGGGTATATTAACACAAGTGGCAGTCATAGGAAATAATTTCTTATCTCTTAAGAGTAGACTGGCTAACCCCCAGTTGGTTATCAGTTCAGTGCACAATATAAACACAATTAATTTTATAGGTAGAATAATTAAAACACTTTTTCAGGCTGGATTTTTGTTGTGTATTTTTAAACGAACTTTTGATCTTTTTTTTAACATTTGACTTAAACAGAAAAAAACTTATATTTCCATGGTATTTTCTCTTTTCACCCACAGTTTCCTAAAAACGGAGATGGAAAAATCACAATCCTAGTAATTACAAACCAACCTCAACTAATTACCTCACTGTATTATATGTGGCTTTACAATAACAGGCTTTTTCATACAACACAGAAAATTGTACAAACTTAACCAAATCTCATCTGGATAGTCTCCAGAATTCCCTTTCTACAATGATAGCTCACATAGGCTTTGCTAATCAAATTACCTATTTTCCCAATATATTTCACATTTCTCTGCATAATACTATAGTTTAAGTGTATCATATGTAGTGTAAAAGCTCAAATAAAGGAATAGCTAATGTACTGTACAGTAGAGCATTTAGTTCCAATCTGGTTTTAGAAATTTTTAAAATCTATATGCTTTCATATCCAAGACTTATGTCTAGAAAGTCTGAGTGAATAATGTGCAATGAATAATTTATATTATTAATTTCACTGTTTTATGTACATAACCCATTCTCAAACAAATTACAAATTTCACAAATATATTCATTTTTAGAAATGTTTCATTAATTTCTTAGAGAATAATTCCAAATACGGTGTTGTATTTTCAATTCCTACATTGTTTGCTAGTTTCATGTTATTCTGTATTGTTAAAGATTGTATAATCTCAAAAACTAACCAAGACGGCACAAACTGCAAATTTTAAAAGTGCCTAATCTGTTGCAAATTGGCATTAAGTGAATATTTAAGCTTAAATGTTTTACATTTGCTTTTCATTCACTTTAGTGAAGTTCAAGTTCTCAAACGCTTGAAGAAAATGAACTCACAAAGTTGATTCAAAATTTTCTTTTGAAGATGAACAAATAATCACCCACAATTTTTCATCATCTGATCAGCCCAATTACATAGGTATGTATAATGCACCCATCTACACCGTATCTGGGTAAAAGGTTCTTAAATTGATAAGTTGTTTTTCAATCATATTTCATAATCATATTTCACTACATGTGCCAGCGTATACTTTTTTATTATACTAAAATGTGCATATGTATTTATTTACTTACTCTGATTTATTTAGAGCTAGACTGGTCCAATAAGCTTCTATTGGTGCACTCACCACTGCATCAAACAGAACTTCTTGTATCAATTCTTTATCACCTATGAAAATGTATTAAATCAATAGCAACAAATAGATTATATGTGTGGTGAAAAAAAGAGTCAAATCAAAATATTTTATTAGGTGAATCACACATAAATAGTATTAATTATTTATATTCAATCTATATTTCATCTACTTTAAACATATGGGCTCTTCAAAGAATTACAAGCTAAATATGTAAAGGTGTAAATTACTTCACTTCAACCACCACCACAATTCTCCCTCATGCTTTGTGCTTCTGTGAAACTGGCAGCCTTTACAATGGCACCAGCAGCAAAGTTAGATTAGGAAGTGAGGAATACCTTATCCATTTGAAGTGACATGGGAGTTTAGGTAATACAATGCAATTTCTCATGCTGGTATTTGTGCAAGACCCCAGATTAATGCTCAATCTCTTGCAAAACAAGCTATCAAGCATATTAAAATGACCCACCCAAATCAACCAAAAGGATCAGCTCCCGGAAGTAAAACTCCTGGGATTTCGTTGGTGGACCGTGGGCCTATGGAAAAAGGGGAGACCTGAAATCTTCGCAGACCAAGGTCCCTCAGTTGGTACCCTCTGTCCCCCTTGCCGGGGAGAGGGAGTTATGAGTTTTATGGCAGGAGTCCTGTAACTTTTCATTGAACGCACTTAAATGCCTGGAACAAAGGAAACAGGGCAGCGAGACCTTCCCCAATATTAAATTAATAAAGTTGCCGCCTGCTACTTAAATCCATCTCTGTGTCATTTTACTGTGTGTGTTGATCAATGATCACGAGAGTTCCAGGTCTCAGGTTTACATTTCATCTAAAGGACAACCTGCCTCTTCTACAGGACTGTAGTATTGGCGCTCTTCTAACTCTTCAGGAAGAGTACCATCTCCCTAAAAGTTCACCATCATCACTTCCTGAAGCATGTGGTGTTTTCTCTAGAAGTCTCATCCAAGTACTGTCTCAGCCCCACCATCCTTAATTAATAAGATCTGAGGAGACCATGACACAAGATAGCATGGCTGCCTAGTGTGAACTGGAAATCCAGTGTTTGGTTTGTCAATACTATATATGGTAAAATATCTCAGTATCAATACATGTAAGTACTAAACCAATAGATTGTCTTATACTCTCAAGTAAATATGGAATTTGCAAGATGATGTCAGTTAATCATACCTGTCCAACCAAATCAGCAATTCAACTAATTAGCATTTTATTATGTAAAGTTTAAATACAATCATTGTTTAGATAAGGGAATGTTTATGAAATTTATCAGTATAAAAATATTTAACATACTCACATTGAAGCAATGGCTCTTTTCCTATGAGGTAGAGTTTAATAGCTTCTAGCTGAGCCATTTGATGGTGTTCAGGATGTACGTCAGTGTTGCAATATGACCTGAGAACATAATGTTGCCAAAATACTACAATGTAAATATTTATAAGCATGATCTCTCTTTGTCTTTGAATGTGAAGAGTTGGGCACAGTAAGCACAAACAATATTAAACAAAGAAGGGTAACAGGCACCAATTTCATGCTTTGTTTAAGACTTACCATTCATCTGCCAAAGATACATCAGGGTGTTCTAAATCATGCAAACCTGAAACAGGAATAATAATATGTTGTATAGGGAGCAGTCTAGGTAACAGATGGGTATTTACATACACTTCAGAGCATACACTCTTCCTTCTTGGAAGGAGTATTATTACCACAGCATAATAAATCACAGAAAACTATGTTCACATACACTTCAGGGTCTGACAAACTGGCAAGAGCCAAGTAAATGAGCGTTAAGGATGAAATGCCTGGAATAAAATCATTTGTTTGTGCACAGATATTTAAGCTTATATGATATGTCTGGCGATCTGAAGAAGATCTGAGCAAAAAGAGCTGCATTAAGGTAAAATACCAGACAACTTTAAATTCCCGTGCTCTTGTTATTTTAATAAACGCCTTTTATGTTGCATCATAATCTAGAGTTGCAAGGAAGACCTTTTTTTTCAGAAATGATAGTATATTTTTAAACAAAACGATGCTATGCTCTCATGAACATGAATAGGAGTTTACAGAATAGTCTAGAAGGGGGTCTATTGTATTAACACTTCATGGAGATGCCTGTAAATCAGTACTGTATTATTAGTTATATAGAACCATAAATTTGAATTTGGGGAATTTGAAAACTCTTAATCTCATATCAGTAAATGTAGGCATGTCGGTCCCATGCGATAAAGCAAAATGGGCTAAATTTTCATAATGTGGACTCTGAGTTTTACCTATGAAGATATAAGTACATAAGTAACCATGGGCATAAATGTGGGGTTTATGAATGCAATTACATGTGAGCACATATGCTCTGCAGGTCCAATTTAAGGTCCAAGTTTTCAACATTCAGGCAATAATTTATTATTACTGTGTATTATGCTGATGGCAGCATCAGACATTTTCTAGAAAGAGATGTAGGAAAAGTCACTGCCTGAAGAGCTCACACTACAAGAAAGAAAGAAAGAAAGAAAATTTACTTAGAGGGAACCAGAAACTGACTTTTTTGTTTCTTTCTTTTTTACTTAATACACATGTAAACAATATGAACTGTAGGTAGCATGGCAAAGTGGATCTTTAAGAGGGCTTAAACGTGCATATGGTAAAGGACTTGCAATGAGCTCAGGAAGTTCATGACATTGATAAGATAAAATACAAAAAAAGGGGACATGCAGCTGTTTATGTGAGAAGCTGACAAAGACAGATGAGGGAAGGGACATTAGCTAAGTGAAGGGGGCAGAATTGTGATGCAAAGTGAGAAAAGCTTGGGTAAGTAGGGAGGGATAGAGTTATACAGAGCTTTGAAAGTGGTGACAAACAGCTTGAATCTGATGTGACAGCAGATGTAGGATCCAAAATTACAGTCCTTAGTGATTGGGTGGATGGCAATATTGTCCAGAGTGATACAGTCAGAAAACTGGAGAGTGTTTGGGAGAATAGAGTTTGGTTGTGGCTATGTTAAAGCTTAAGGTGATGATGACACATCCAAGAGCAAATGTCAGACACACAGGCCGAGATGTGGGACTGGATGAAGGAAGATAGGTCAGAGGTGTGTTGGGACCAGCTCAGAGAGTAAAGACTTACAATACTCACACCATGCTACCTTTCTTTCTAGATACTTATATGGTACCTGAGTCCCTCACAAACATTGATGTATTTACCTTCACAACAACTCTGTGAGGTAGGGAACAAACATGAACTGACTTGTCTGTGGGTCTCAGAAAAAGTCTGCGGGCAGAGCTGGGAATTGAACCCAGATCTTCTTGGTGTTTTTCCTCAAGCCTTAAGGACAAGCAGCAAGCATTCCTTTTTTAACCTTTTTTTCCACACAATGCTGATTATTTGGAGCTACCACTACAACTTCTCTCCTCACTCTCCCAGCACAAGGCTCCTCCACTGTGAATGGCCAGCATACCGTTACAGCCATTATATGTTGGTAACCACCTACCTGCTCCTGGGGATCCTTCTGCCTACATAGCTCCCTCCATTATTGCTGTTCCTTCATTTTCCTGATTTCCCTTCCCCAAGACCCTCTCACACTGTATTCCATATAGGTGCAGGTCCACCCACTTCCATGCCTGACCTCATCCCCACACAGCTGCCTCTTCTCACCCAACCTCTCCTTCTAGGAAAGCTCTTTGATCATCATTTTAATCCTTTCATCCATTTCACTAATGAATTTACCAAAAATTAAAGCTCCAGAAAGAAGAAAGTGTTTTTTTCTTTTGGTTTTGCTAATAAAAAGCAAACAAAATATCAAAACCAGAAGCACTCAGCTCTAGACCTAATTCTAAGTTGATTAACATAGACTTGCTCTAAATTTTGTGGTGATAAGGCTTACTACACTGTATTCTGTGCATAACAAAATACTACTTTAAATGTATCCAATATCCTGATTCAGAAATTAGCATGAAGTTTCTTCTATAAGGATTATTAACAACAAATACGAGCCTTTGAGTGATTCTTCAGCATGGGACGTTTCCAGAAAAGAAGATTCGTAAACGCATTCTGATTACATGTCATATGAAAATTCTTAAATGTCAAGAATATCAGAAATGATCTAATCCTGGTAGGGAATCTTCAGAGAAACCATGTGAGAGATGCACAAGCTTTAGGCCCACTAAGATCAACAATAAAACTATTGTGTAAGCATCACAAAATGGTATCTTACCTTCTTCTATAGTTACGTTCCCTCTGAAGAAATATTTGCCATGTCCTCTAGAGAGAGCCACACCTAAACTGTGCAGAGAAATAAAGCAGACCTTGAAATCTGTGGCACAAATAATAGCAGAGACTGAGAGCTATTTTGCCTTGCTAACAATTCCAGTTCATGTACTATGCAAATTTTAAAAAACAGTTTGTTTCCAAAACCCCACTATTATATTTATTGTTCAACTAGCTACTTTGAATGCCATAGAATCATAGAATATGGAGGTCATGTGGGGTTTGATATGCCAGCAACAATTGGTTGTATTTATGTGTGCTTAGAGGTGCAGCAAACCATTCACTCTTTGGCAAACTAACAAAGAAGCCACTCTAAGCACACAACTATTCACCCAGCATGCTCATTCTTCATCCAAATCCTCAACTTGCCCACACAGGCTTACAATGGGGACGACAACTCTTTACAAATCAGACTCAGCTATTGAGAAATTTTACAAAGTGTGGGAGCCAATGGAGATGGTGAAAGGAAAGAAATATCAGAACATGATAAAGGTGTCAGGAAGAAATTCTTAATGTAATTTTTCTGCTGCTCACATTTTTTGCCTGTTTATATATTTTTTTCATTGACTTTATTTAGCTCCATTTAAAGTTTTCCAAAAATTAAGTAATCCGTTTGTTTTTTTTAAAAGGAAATCTATCACTGGGTTGCTCAGGAGTGAAGAGGTGCATGGGAGGCAACCCCAAAAGTGCCTCCCACTTTCTAGTGAACTCATGCAGCTGCAATGCAGGATACCTTCTGACAGTCATATGTGCTAAGAGGGTGGCCAGGCTCACAGGAATATTTCAGTAGAGTTCTGCAATTATCAGCTTCCCTCTTTGAACATAGGCTACCATAAATATACTTTTATTAACGGATTATTTCTAATTCAATTTTGGGCATTCAGTTAGCGATTTCTTGCCATTTTTGTTAAAACCCATGCCAAAATAATATGGCTGACTTATTCAGTTTTAGTTGTACAAATACACTGAAGATAGTTCAGGGAAACAAAATATAAAAACCTCAAATTGGAAGTGAAATACTACCTCCATTTATATTGCATTTTTGTTGTGGAAAAAAAATCAAAATGGGGCTCAATATGTAGTTAGTTAAATGGATTATAGTATTTATAGCTCTCTGAGTACTTGCAAAAACCTCTCGTTCAATGTAAACCTCAACTGAATATTTTTTTAATGAAACGTAAGCCATGACAAACACAGTGAGTTTGCCTATGTGAGCTTGCACAAACTTTCCATCCCTGGAAAAGGTAAAAGGAATGCTGGAAAGCCTCTTTTCTTTGCTATTTTCAGCATTGTCCAGGAATATTTTATTGTGAGCTCCTGCTGATGCTCTTTTAATAAACTCACAAGCTTTGTACAAATGCAAGTACAATGAGTCTGATGAAATGTCCATTTATTATGGTCAGTTCTACCTGAAAGGAGTACCCCTGATGTCTGTATAATAGTAGTCATTTGTCATCACCAATACCCGTTTCTAGATTCAGAACAAGAAAGTCAGAGAAAAGAAAACAAGGTTAGTTTGCTATGAGAAATTTGTAAAAGAGTAAATGGTTAGTTTGTGATAAGGTTAATAATGACATAAAAGGTACATGAGTGGCTCAGGATTATTAAAGGCAAGAGAAAAATAATCTTAGTGAAACATATCTATTCCAAATAATCTTCAATGATCATTTAAACATCTATTTGTTTTACATTTAGCAGGAAGAACATTTTATACATTGTACCCCTTTGTCCACTGTCTTCTTCACCTCCATAGAAAATTTCCCTGTTTTCCGATTCACCATTGCATTTCGAAGCTGAAATGAGAAAAACATTTTTGTCACTTCCTTCATGTGTGTTTTTAGTAATTTTCACATCCCAAAGTTCCCAAATATTTTCATTTGGTCACAGCAGTTCTTTGTTTTCATATGGTTAGAACACAATTTTTCAGCAATTACTGCTGCACTTCCAATAAGTGTGTCTGTTAGAGGTGTTATGATAAGGCAGTCCGGTAGGAGGGAAATAATCTGTGATTCAGCTATGTCAACAAGCCATTCAATGGCAAAGTAATAAAGAATAACTACAGCTATTTCATTTTTCTTTCAACTTCCATTTGGTGCTCTACATTGGGCTACACCTTAAATCAAACCAGAAACTGAAACCGGTACAGATTGGCCAATCCACTAGGTAAGCAATGTCTCACCAGGAACACACAACAGCAGTGATCTGTGATCTGCACTGGCTGCCTCACAGATTCTGTGTGGAGTTTAAAGTATTGATTTTTACCTGTAAAGTCCTAAGTAGCCCAAGAATGCCTTCCTGAAGTACCATACTGTCACAAGTCTACTGTTTCAAGGTGCTTGGGCTGGAGCCCCCTCAGTGTAAGAGAGGAACAAATGGCAGGGCATTCTTTCTGAGGAGCCCTTGGCTTTGTAACTTACTACCCCTGTCTGTTTATTTGAAATAGGCCATTAAGTTCAATATTTTAGAGCTGTCTAGCCAGGTTTTTGGGAATGGAGAAATATGATAAGAGCTGCTATTTGGGAGTAATGTGAGTATTGTCTGGGTGTGTTTTGTGTATTTGTACACAGTGTTGTTGTAGCCACGTCAATCCCAGGATATTAGAGATAAGTTGGGTGAGGTAATATAATTTATTGGACCAATTTCTATTGGTGAGAGAAACAAGCGTTCAAGCTACACAGAGCTCTTCTTCAGGTCTGGGAAAGATACTCAACAGTGTTACAGCTAAATACAAGGTCGAACAGATAATTTATCATAAATAGTTGGCACATATTCTAAAGGATGATTCAAGGTGAAGTGGTATTTGTTTATTTAACGGTTTAGGGTTAGAAGCTCCTGATACTTTCTTATCCTGTTGTATTTTTAATTAATGGCACAGGCACAGAGACCTTAGGAAAGGTATCTTTATGATATATTTTAAATTAAAATATTGTTCTGTTTGTGGATATGTGTCTAGTAAGCAATAACAGTATTTGTTTTAAATACTTCATAAACATAATTCTCATTACAGATTCCCACTAATTACTTATTCATTCTTGCTCACTCTGCGGATGAGCTACCATATTTTCAGATATAGTATTATATTTTATCTGGCAAATCAGTTCTTACACTAAACTATGTTCTATAAAGGACAATCAAATAAATAAATAAATGCAGAAGTGTGATATGAAATGAGCATTTCAATCTCTCTTAAATCATTGCTATTTACAATATTTGGAAACAATGTTGTACATAGTGTTATAGCAACGTCCATCACTTTCCTTCTCCAATACCACATGCCACATATGATAGATCGGTCAATGAGGACAGATTTCAATGAAAATTTGCAAATGTGACCGTATCAAGGTGCTATGCAGGCTTTTCTGGTTAGTTAGAATGAGCAGGGCCTGCCAAAGCTTGTCAGTGAAATATCTGTTTATATTTTCATGAAAAGAAGTTGAGCATGGCTGACCTATCAAAAACTGCAATGTTTGCGCTCTTTAAATGTAATTCTAGGCTGTCTAGATTGAAGTTAACTGTCTTACTTTCCTGTTAGTGAGTGTAAAAGAATAATTTTTAGCTGGAGGCATGCATAAAATAAAGCACATATTTTACTGTAGATTTTTTTTAACAATACATAATAGGCAATTCTGGAAATATTTTCCCATTTTAGCTTTTGTGGTTTTGGACTTGGAGAGCTGGTCTTAATTAACAATCTACTTTCTAACATTTAAAGAACTGTTTCATTTATCTTTAACATGTTTTTCATTTCCCCCTTTTTGGTGCCTGCAGTTATCTAGGACCCATTCCTCCCACAAACCTCAGGCAAGTCATGGATTTACTAACAGGGCCTCAAAAACTCTAGTAGCATTTATGATCAAGTCTGAATATGACATTTAGCATTTTATTTGTCTTTATTTATTTGCTTTCTAAAAGTACATTTCTTGGATTTATAATCTGGTTTCTCAACTCTTCTGCAGTGTCATCTCTGCTCTGAGTATATAAAGCAAGTACTGCCTCAGATGGCTATAGACACTCAAAACATCATTTAAACTTTTTTCAAAAAATATATACACACACACACACACACACACACTTTGTCCAACTACAAATTATAGTAAAAGAATTTTAAGAAGTAACTTCATGAAAAAAAAATACTGCAAGATTTCTATTCCTAATAGTGTGTCAGTAAGATCAAGATAGCGGTTCCTATAACTTGAGAAATGAATTAATGAAAAAAATACCTCCACTGAATCTGTTTGCTTGTGGCTACCAACATTCTAAATTCAGCTTTGCTACCTTCTCCTCACTAGGCCACAGGATAGCTCCTAATTTATGTCTACTGTATACATTTTTGTATTACAAAGTATGCCCTTTATTATGTGTCTTTGTGTCCTACTGAGAGATGAAGGAAGGTCCAGTGGTTAGAGTGCTAGCCTAGGACTTGGGAGACCAAGGTTCAAATACCTGCTCTGCCACACACTTACTGTGTGAAACTGGCAAGTCACTTAGCTTCTCCATGTCTCAGTTCCCCCATCTAAAAACCCTATGTCACAGGGGCTTGGGGAAGATAAATACATTAAATATTGTGAAACTCTGAGATCTACTGAAAAAAAAAGCTATATAAGAGCTAGGTATTATTATTTCTGTCAGCCAACACAATCTCAACGCTAAAGTATGAGATCATTTAACGTGCTTGGAAAACTGTGAAATCATTAAGTCAATGTGGTAACTAGTGAAAAATTCTCTTACACAACTTCAACAGAAGTGTTTTGTGGGGGTAAAATATGCCAGTAATATGTTACATGATTACAAGCAGCTGTATGAATAAGCTAATTCTTTACTTTTTCTTGAACTTGAGCAAACAACGCCTATTTGGTCTGGCACAGGGAGAAACAAGAGCATCAAACCTAGGCCTTCTGAGCAGCTGAGCAGCATGCTGCCTTCAAGTCAGCAAACTGTATCGCAAAGCTCTAATTCCCCAATGAAACATCCAGCAGCCTCACTGACCCTTACTATTACCAAGAAGGGGCTACATTTTGTTCCAGGGGATGGTGACATAAATAATCTCCTAAAAAAAACAACACTAAACAACACCACATTTCAAAACGTTCTGGATATTCCTTAGACGGGTTAAATAAAGAGTGGGTTTAGGCTAGGGTTGCCAGGTGTCTGGTTTTCGACTGGAACATCCAGTCAAAAAGGGACCCTGGCTGCTCTGGTCGGCACTGCCAACTGGGCCGTTAGAAGTCCGGTCGGCGGCATGGTGGAGGCCCAGGGCTAAGGCAGGCTCCCTGCTTCCCCGGGCTCCATGCGGCTCCCGGAAGCAGCTTCCAGGTCCCTGCAGCCCCTAGATGCATGGGCAGCCAGGGAGGCTCCGTGCGCTGACCCCGCCCTGAGGGCTGGCTCCACAGCTCCCATTGGCCAGAAACCATGACCAATAAAAGCTGCGGGGGTGGCGCCCAGGCAGCACATGGAGCCTCCCTGGCCGCCCATGCCTCTAGGGGCAGCAAGGACCTGGCGGCCGCTTCCTGGGAGCCGCGGTAAGCACCACCAGGACCCCTCACCCCGCATTCCCCCACATCCCAACCCCCTGCCCCAGCCCAGAGCCCCCCTCCTGCACCCCAAACCCCTCATTCCTGGCCCCACTCCAGAGCCTGTTCCCCCAGCCAGGGCCCTCACTTCCCCCCCTGTACCCCAACTCCATGCCCCAGCCCAGAGCACCCTCCTTCACCCTAAACTCCTCATCTCTAGCCCCACCCCAGGGCCTGCACCCCCAGCCGGAGTCCTCATCCCACACCCACATCCCAACCCACTGCCCCAACATAGAGCCCTCTTCCACACCCTGAACCCCTCATTTCTGACCTCACCCCAGAGCCCGCACCCTCAGTCGGAGCCCTCATCCTCCTCCCGCACCCCAACTCCCTGCCCCAGCCCAGTGAAAGTGAGTGATGGTGGGGGAGAGCGAGCGACGGAGAGAGGAGGGATGGAGCGAGTGGGGGCGGGGCCTCGGAGAAGGGGAAGGGCAAGGGCAGGGTGTTCATTTTTGTGCGATTAGAAAGTTGGCAACACTAGACTGGTCATTACTTTGATCAGGAAAGTCCACCCAAACCTTAAAATTCTATTTATCTCTAGTCATGTTGCTAAGAATGGTTCTATCTATAGCTTTCATCATGCATTTCCTTATTTTGAACTGCTCCTCCTCCATCCCTTTTCTTGATCTTTCTGCCCCTCTGTGTATCTGAAGCTCTTATAAATGTGTTATGTATAGTTATATTAAACACACACACACACACACACACACTCATCTCCCATTACACAATAAAATTGTAGCAGTGCTGGGCTTGGTTACAAAAATTTCTATAAAAGTATTATTTTCACTTTGTGTTTTCTCATATTTAGACATCTGCAAGAACATTTCCAGTTGCAGGTGGCGCTGCCAAAGCATTAGGCCAGCATTTGGAGTTTTACTACCTTTTTCCACAACATTTAACATATTGTCTTTTCAAAAAATATTTGGTGACTAATGATCTACTAGTAGATTTGTAGGCCACTGTTGTATAAAAAAGGTATCTATTGATGAGATAACTTTTGAAGGAGGATTGGTTTCCTTAAGTATGTGATGATGAATTGTAATGATTCTGGAACCTGGTAGATTTGACCCCTGTAAGGGAGTTACTCTGATGTGTATATATTATGCGTGAGTATCCAAGACTGTGGTTACTAGTGGTCCAAAGCTACAGTACTAAGCCCATATATTTCCTGTCACGTATTCTGTATTCCTCAAAACTAAATCCTCTTGCTTTTTATCTAGTTTTCACTTTTACATGTTGGGAGCCGACCTGGACCCGGTCCACAAGCTTTTTGCTCAATTTAGTCTATTAGTAGTACTAAGAAAACTATTAGTTTTTTTTTTGAAACCTGAAACCATGGGAAACTCTGCTTGTTTCAAGGTTTGAACATTAAAAACTAAAACTAGCAGAGTTTAGTCCAAACCTTTTTTGGGCCCCATGGACCTTTCATCAAAAATTGAAATAAAACTCTTTGCTGTCTCTGGATAGACACAAAACAGACTTTGGTTTGGTTTTGTAAGGAAACTTTGGTGACTGTTGGTCGCATGATAAGTCTTCTGGGTCTTGCAGAACTGCCCAAAATTGAATCCATAGGCAGTGCACAGAGATGAACGTCTGCCAGTTTTATCAGGCGCTTTGGTGGCTTTGTTGTATATTCAGACAAAACCAGAATCCAAGCAGAGCTCCATTGATTTAAATTTTTTTGAACTAAAATCAGGTTGTGTTCAACAACAAAAAACTGAAACCACCAACTAGAGTTGTGTGGAATTTATTGCAACTAAAGTGAGAACACAAATGAGAAAATAAAACTGTATAAACCAACTAGAAGAAATTATAGAATTATACTGGAAATACTGGGTGGAATCAAAATAGGATAAAAGAAGGGAAATAGAAAAAAAAAAAGACAGATTCATGAATGCCTAAAAGGATGCATGTTCAGTCTACTAATAAAACGTGTACATTGGGAATATATTTTTAAAAACATCAATTAGTCATAGATAAATTAGGTAGAGTGATATGTAATCAAGGATAAGGAAAAGGCAATGTAGAAAACAAAGGATTTCAGAGATTACAGAAGGACATTTAGAGAATATGAAAACATGAAGAGGAAATTTTACACAGTGAAGGCGAAGAAAAATGCACTAGGTGACATAAGAAATAAGAAGAAAGGTTTCATGTAAAGTCAGCACAAAAACTCAAATATGGAGACAGTATGGCCTCTTGAGAGACAATGAGGACAATCTATCAACAGGAAAGAAAGAAATTGCTAAAACACAAATGAATTGTTTCATTATTCACAAAAGGAGGGAATGGGCAGTGGCAGAAACTGATATATATTTTGCAACCGAGAAAAGAAAATATAGACTTATGTCGGAAAAGGGATCAAGAAATTAGTACATCTGAAGTCTGACAAAACTCCTGGGGAAGATGTTTGTGATTCATCCCAGATTTCAGAAGGACATGACAAAGTAAATATGGGAACCTTCAGTGTGTGCATTCAAAACCTCTCTGAAACAGTAGAAGTATGAGGGACTCAAGAGAAGCTACTGATATTTGAGAAGTAATCTAGGAAAGATCTATGAAAACACAGACATGCAGGCATGACTTTGGCAATGGTGAAGTTATGGGAAAAACTAAGTAACAGAGACAGAAAGGGGAGCACCTGGAAAGTTACGATTTAATTAAGGACAGTCAGCAAGGATTCACACAAAACGAATCATGCCTAACAAATCAGATTTATTGAGGAAGTAACAGAAGGACCAGGCAAAGATTAAGCCATGGACATACACATAAGGAAAGCTTTTGATACAGTACTGCAAAAAAGACTAAGCCTGCAAGGTAACTAAGAACGGGACAGAGGGTAAATTACAGAGTGGAAAGAGAAATATGGGTAATATTTGGAGGGATCTTGTGCATGGCACAGGTGAGGATAGCAGGAATTGATTTGTTTGATGTTCTTCAAACCTGAAATTAAGTGTTAGGTGTAAATCATTGATAGGGGCTCCATGCTAGCTTCTGTGATCTAAACAGACTCCAGCATCTGTTTTTGTTTGTTTTTTAATTTAGTTTAGTTTGTTCTTTTTATTTCTAAGGGCAGCATGAGCCAAGAGAGCTCCTCCAGAGAGGTGGAGCAGTCAAAATCTGGTCCAGATTTCTCAGTTTGATCTGATAGGTGGGCCAGACCCGAACAGAGGTACTGATCCCTGGTGACCAGCACAGTGCCACTGGGGTTCGTAATGGGATGCATGGAATATTAAAATTAGGTGATGAATTTTACAGATGATACAAACACAGAGAGACAGAAACATGCATATGTGAAAGAAAGAAAGAAAGAAAGAAAGAAAGAAAGAAAGAAAGGTAAATAAAATTCGTAATTAGGTAAAAAGGGACTACTGTCTCTGGAGCAGTTAGGCGGCCTCTTTGCTGACTACTTGAACAGTTACCAAGTACAGTAGTGGGATACAACAATCTCTTCTGACAGGGCCTTAAAACAAATCACTTACCACATCATCTCTGTCTTCCCACTCAACCTCAGAAAGATCAACACTGCTGTAGTTGGGTTTTCTTCGCTTTTTTCCTTCTTCATACTAGCATTCAAAATAAAATTTAAAAAATTCAAACGTTAGGCATGTTATGTTTTACTTGCACAAAGATCCAATGTCAGATGATTTTAAGAGTTGCTGGGTGGATACTGGTTAGATTCAATGTACATTTTCAGTGTGTGGTTTAATTAATATAAAGTGAAGCACAACAATGCTCAAATATTTCCTGTGAACTGAAAAACTTGCTTACTATATGTTTATACACAGGACTCCTATGCTGCAATGCAAATCTTTCCTTCAGGCAGAATTCTCCTTTCTGCATATGACTCTAATGTCAGACCCCTGTTAGAAAAGTGGGGAAAGTAATACTCCTAATAAATTAGTTTGTTCTCTTTGCCACATTTTATAATCAACTCAGCAATGATACCTTCCACACATTACTAACCATATGGAAACTAATAAGGCCCTGATCTCAAAGTTTATACTAAGTGTCCCAAACTAGCTTTCAGTCAGGCAGGAAGTTATATTTCCTACAATCTTATCAACAAAATGTGTACACGTTTCTCTTTAAACAAGATAAGCTGTGAGTCTCGGGAATCTTGGTGTTAATATTTGCTGATATTACGTTTTATCTATGATTTAATAGGAAAAAGAAAGTAATATACTAATAATGGCAAGTTATAGTTTTTATCACTACAGCCATTGTTACTCTGTAAATCTCACATTTTAAGTAAACATCTTTAATGACAAATGGGGTGTTTATAATATAGGAAATTCTGCCCTCTGCTGAACATCAGAAATCAGCGACCTCACTAGTTTAAGAACAAACATCTTGAGGTATGGAGCAAGAGAGTGAGTGATTTCCCAGCTCTCTAAGTGGATAAATTAATCCATATGGTTTTAAGTGAATTGATGGGAACGTATTTGAAACACACGTACATTTTGCTGACAATGTTTGTGTGCTTTAAAATGTTGAAGACTCATTTTCTAGGCCTTTTACTTTTTATAATTGCTAAAAGGAAAAAAACCCACAAATCTTTCTACCAAGAGTGGTCAGAGAAACAGGGAGGTCTTGGGCAGTTCTGGAATCAAGTTTGTAACTTTGCAGGCTTGGAATGATGGCCCCTCCACCACACAGACTGCAGAGGCAGGAACGTCCAGTCACCTTTTGTGGTGAACACACACTTGCACTAAGCCTAATCTTCAGGGGAGATGACTTCCTTCTTCAAGGTTAAAGCAAACTTCTAGTCTCATGAATTTTATTCTAAATTAAAGGAACTGGATATTGAACTCATGGTCTTTTTTGTAGTCTCAGAATCACTTAAAAAACAGAGATGTCAGAGAAGTAATTCCTTCTGGAGAAGCTGCATATTTCTTCCAAGGGATCAGTTGTCAGACTGTATTTACAACAGAGATGTTGGGGGAGGGGTGGAGTTGTAAACACTGGGCAGTAGTAGATCACAATGCTGCTCTGCCTTCTTACTTTTGCTCACAGTGATTTGGCTCCTCCAATCATTCCCATGGGCAGTACTTTTGAGAGGTCACGTCTGATTACTTCCTGAATCAGTTCTCATTATTCTTTTTGAGTAAGACAAACACTTGCCAGGTCCTCTGTGGAAAGCTTTAGTCTAAGGTCACTTCACAAGTTGAGGGCTTAGTTTTTGCACAGTTTTACACTCAGTTTGCAATCCCCTAGTGTGGATGCAGTTATACCAATATAAAGGTATTTCAAAACACGCTATAATGATATAAAAAACATCTTTATACTGGTATAACTGTGTCCACATTATGAGGTTGCACGAATTTACCCAAATCATTATCATTTTTTTCAACTAATTTAGTTAAATTCGGACAAAAAATTGTGTGCAGACAGACCTTTAGATACTGACCGTTGACAAATACTACATAGTTAGACATGAGGTGGGATAATTTGGGTGTAGTAAACATGGAATGACTCCTGAACTACTGTCAATATATAATTATATCTTTATTTAGGACTTGTCTGCACCGTGCCTTAGTCTGCACCACAGGGGTGTAAATTTTAGTCAGCACAAATGTGTCATGCGCTAACTGGCTGCTGGTGCACAATATAAGTTCCCTAGTGTGTGTTAATATAGTCCCCTTTCCAACAGTACTTCCTTAATGTGAACTACGGAACTCTTAGGGTGAACCCAGCAGAGTCCACATGGGTCAGTTAGTGCATAACACTGTAAGGCAGACTAAAATTCACACCCTCTGATGTGGACTAAAGCATGCAGTAGAAAAGCCCTTACATACATTTAAGACTTTCTGGGGTATATTCTGTGCTCACACACATGTGAGAATTGTTACTGAAGGGAGCTGTGCTGATGTACCTGAAGATAGAACTGTGCTGTCAAATATGAGGCAACCCAACTATATCATATTGTTTATGGAGTTTTGTTTTTTTTCATACTAACCCTATGGTTTTCATATGTTTCATTTAAGTAACATGCAATCAAAGAGAGATGGAAAAAGAGTCCAGAGAGCACACACATATCCAAAGTATGAGCTATACAGTGAACTGAACCACAGTGGGACTCGTTAACAACCAGAAGACAAGTGTTCAAAAATTCAGAACTTACAGGTAGAAACAAAAGTGTATATCTCAAACAAAGTTTCCTATAGCCATGCAAGGAAGAAGAGCAGAAACCTCACTCAGGTCCAGCAGGGAACTCATGATAAGAGCTGGGCAAAACAATTTTGACTAATTTTTTTTTCAATGAAAAATTCAGATTTAGGTCCACCAAAGCATTTTGCTAATTTTTGTAGAATTCATTGAATTCTTTCAGTTGCAAAAAGAACCCCAGAATTCTGAAAGAGTCTAAATAGTTTGTTGTGACATTTTAACAAGGAACATTTTTACTTTTTGATTCAAAATGACTTTTGAATTTTACTTCAATTGTATTAAAAATATTAAAAGGTAAAAACTTGAAAATGAAATGAAACATTTCATTGCATCCCTAATAAAACATTTAATCTGACCCAAAATGGAATTTTTTCACCATTTTCAGTTCACCAAAAAAATTCAAAAAATTTTGTCTTAGGGCAACCTGAAATTAATTGCTTTTATATACTCTTTGATTTGGTCACCAAAAAAAACCAGTTACTCACACATTTCTCCTTGCCATGCAGATATGGGAAACCCTTAGATACTACAATAACTGTGCTAGACAAAACACAAAAACTTTCATTGACTTCCACAGGGCCAGCATATGACCTGAAGTGATCCAGCAAACACTTGTGCAAGTGTATAACTTTGCGTATTTAACTAGTTGCAAAGACACTATCGTATGAGCAAGGTTACACATCTGTGTAAGTATTTGCAGGATTGGGGCCTAATACAGAAAGATGGATAGACAGATTATAGAGCAGTTAATAATAATACTCTTCGGTATATTTAGAACTTCACAAACTGTCTATCTACTCTGTTCTAGTTCCTTTCTAATTTTAGTATTTAACATCTCCCTAAGAGTAGTTTTTACATACTGAAAGCAAGGCTTGGGGTCAATTTACCTCTTTAAATATCTCTTTACAAAATGTAATTCATCCATATATTTTCTTTTTCTACTGAATTTAACCTATCTTTACTTTTGTGTCTGACACTCTGTTGAAATATAAAATACTCATTGAAGTCTGGAGCCAAACTCATTTGCAAGATTATTCATACTGTAATACACTGAAACAAATTAATAAAATACACACTAGGAAAAATGGAAACAAGGAATTCTACCAAATTAGCTTCCTTTCAGAGCATGCAAGAAAGAGCTAGATTTAAACTGGGCTGTTAATCCAGTTTTCTGCCACCACAAAATGTGTGGTGATATTATTTAGTGAATTAACACCTCCAAAATGAAGGATGTATGCTGCGATTTTTTTAAAAAAACAACATTTTGAATAGCACACTGGACTTCTTCTTAATCACCTTTTAAATTAAAAACTTCTCTCACAAGAACTCATATTTTTGAATAAAATAGATAACCACTTCCTTTGGTAATTATAATGACCTTTATCTTAATCAGTGTCTTTTTGAATAAAATAGGTAACCACTTCCTTTGGTAAT